TGGGATAGGTGTTAAGTTATGCAATTTCATAGTATGAAGTCATTATTACATATTAATCACACCAGCTGGTTATCATCATATTTATTATGTTTCAATCATAAGTTAGATAAACAATTTAATCAATTGTCATTGTCTAGAATAGAACAATTAACAAAATAGTTTTAAATAAAATCATGTTCATTTTCTGTAATACTTATACACAGTATAAATACAACATGGATAAACCAGCATGTTGCTGGTATAGGCTTGAAAATTATATAGACGGAAGACATACAACAGCACATTTAAGATACATTCTGGTCGCTTACGAACTGGCGTCAAAATAAGTTTAAAAATAAAGTACTATAGATCAGAACCGCTTCTGCGTCCATTTCAGGTTATTGAAATAACCGGATTGAAAGTCATGCCCGGTACTAGATTTTTAAGAATACGTAATTGCATTACATTGGTTTCTGCCAACCCCGTATTATGTCAGCATAGTATCAACAAATTCATAATGTTACTCAATAACATAAGAGCGGGTCGGGAATATGTCGAGCCTTATGTTGCCTTCAAGTACTTTAATTTCAATATTAACAAAATGTTTGCTCACTTTAACATTAGGTTAATTTTTAATTATCTGATGTAGTTGTTGACTATTTAATATACAGATTATGACACGATGTTTATGAAGATTTGAGTTTTGTATGATTAGATTTGAAATTGGACTACGTACTAAGTAGGTTATGAGACAATAAGGGTCTCCATGTTATTAAAAAGGATATAATGATATTGCAGTATATAATAAAGTTCAAGTTGTCAATATCGTGACAGTCGAGTAAAAAGAATGAATAGTTAGGTGATCATTATCTATGTGAAAGGTCGACCACTATGTGATTAGCTGCCGTGCTTGGTACCATCCGTTAAAACATAGTACAGGTATTTCGACGTATGGGTACGAAAAAGCTAACATGTCGCAGCTAACTGTATACGCTGAGTTTATATAGTTTATATACCAACTACTTTTACCAATATTTGTTGCTTCAGTAAAATATATAAAGGTCACTATTATTTTGTTATTAATGTTATTTAAAAGAAAGGTTCAGTAAGTGGTTCAAATAGTAATAGATATCTGTTCTAATAATATATATCTGTGTATAATACGAATTTTTAATGAATCTAATTGTATGTAGAAACAAAACATTTGTCAGCTTAAGTAAATATTTTTAAATGGTATTTAGGTCAATTTATTTAGATCTGAATGGTCAGTCTAAGATTATTGAGTATGGTTAATGAAAATCTCATTGCTATTGATTGGCATGTACTATTCACGGATGTTTGACCAGATTAACTTTTATATGTACATTAATAAAGAAGTTGATAAGAACAGCTCACAATGATTATCATTTTCGATTGTCGATGTGTCGCATATCAGATGAGTTCAAGGTTCAGTTGCCTACATTGAAATGGTATTTAAACATCAGTAATGTTCGTTATATGTCATTTATATTGTTTAATAGGTATTATATTGTATAATTATAGGTTTATTTTTAATATAGTAACGGAGTTAGACTTTCATCAAGATGAAATACTATTAGTGTTTAGATTGTAAACAATTATTAAATAATTTTAGTTTTATTTTTAGTTATTATTCTGTCAATAATTCGTAAACTCATCAATAAGTGAACAGTATCTCCAAATGGTATACGTGTTTTGATTATAATGGATTAATACCAAACCGTTAATTGGCAGCAGGTTAAAGAAGGTAATGTTTAATTATTAATAATTATTGTAGTAAAATATGGTTTTAGATTTAAATAGTAATAATATAATAATATAATAAATACTTATGTTATTTACTAGTTGACGAGCGTACTTTCAAGTTTAATTATTCAAATACTAATTGCATATTGGTTGAATTGAACAGTTTAGTTTGCGTTAGAAGTTAATTTTTAAATTATTTTTATTGTTTTGTTGGCCCTTAAATAAAACTATAATTGTTTCTCTTTTCAGATTTAAATATTTGTATTGTTGTTATATAAGGTATATATATATTTAATAACAATAATTTTCATCGGAAAATTATTATTACAAATATAATATATGCACATAAGTATTGGTAATACAAATATTTCAAACTAAGTGCTATATAATTATTGCGTTTTATTTAAAATTTATACTTATCAAAAATAAATCCTCTCCAAGATGAGAATTTAAAAATTTTCCTAACACGGAACATTTCTGAATAGGCCTCTAAGAATGATTTTAATTTCATAATGTATTCGAATTAGATGATTGAATAATAAACTTCAGAAATTACGTCATCAAAGAGCTAAATAACATCAAATTGTTTATTATATTATTATATTGACTATATTTAAATTTTAATTCCAGCCATGTTTTTACTTATTTAAAACCCATTAATGTATGAATAAACATACTCATTCATTTAACACTAACCTGCAATCGTTTGGACAATTACATTGAAACCTATTATACAAATCAAACACGTGCCGCGTTTATTGCAGGGATTACTCAAACATTTCCTTATTGATAAAAGGTTTACGTAGATTGCGACTTTTTCCAAATCAGTAAGCTAAAATAAAATCTTATTCAGAGATTATTTAATAATTTTAATGAAATCAAATTTATTAAGGTATCACTCTTATTGGAAAGTCTAGCCTGTTTAAAGTCTCAATTTTCTATTAAAAATAATTATATAATTATAATATAATACTTTATAATTTATTAAACATATATAAATAATCATACTCTCTTATTAGAAGGCAATGTTCTGATGTTGTGTTTAAAATCTGCATTTGCCGTTGATCGACTGGATAAACCCTTTGGACCATCGATCATAGGTATTACATTTTTATCGTATCCGAAAATATTGGTAAATCATTTAACCGAAACGATTCAACTACATCCCAAGTTTTTAGCCTAATTAACACATATATAAAAGTTAATAAATATAATTCAAACGTAAATATTGTGAATAGATTTTAATACCAATCCAATAACTTGAAGTAAGTTTCATTATTCACATTTATATATCCTGACCTTTGTACTCAATGAAATATTGATTGTAGCACTTTCGATGTATAAATGACCATTTCAGATCTAAATCGTGGCCTAAAATGCATTGTTTTAAAAAAATAATTTACTTAAATACAATAAATATTTTTTATTTCATATACATACAATTAGATTCCATTAAAGTTGTCATACTTCAGTATTATACACAAGATATATATTATTAGAACACAAATTGTAAATATTTACTATTTAGTTACTTACTGATTGCTGTATAATCCGTTCACATTTTTAAATAACATTAATAGCAAAATAAATAGTGACCACTTGCTGTATTTTTGCATTTTAGAAAATAACAAATATTTAATTAAAATTAGTTTAATTTATATAACTATATAAATAACATATTATACAGTTAAACCTTACAACATGTAAAACTTTTTCAACACTACACCACAAATTAAACTGATCCAGAATATAATACTGTGTTTTAATAGTTAGTACCAAGCACAGCATGTATCCGCATATAATTAGTCAGTATTCTTTCACATAGATAATGGGAATCCACCCCCAAACTGATAATTATACATCGTCTGTTTTTACTCGACTGTCACATTAATTATGATAACTTAGATTTTATTATGTCTACAATATCGGTACTATTATTTTTCATGTATGGTTTAGAAAATTAAAATTACATAACAATCTCGTAACTATATACAAAACACATGGTCCAATTTCAAAATCTAAATCATACAAGCTCCAAAGTCTTCATAAAACTTTATCAAATATGCATAATATACAATATATTAAATGAGTATTATACACTTATGTTTAATAAATAGATTAATTAATAAAAAATTAACCTAATATTTAAAAATTATGACAAGTGATTTTGCATTAAAAAATATTAAATTAAAATTGCACTTATAACGTAGAAGGTAACTATAAAATCGACATAATTACATTATATTATGTTATTAATTAACAGCTATAGATTTTGTTGAATTAGATATATTTTATTTATAATACAGGGTTGCAATAGTCTACAGTGGTAGAATAAATATGTCACAGGGTTACATTATTCTTAAAAAAATCTAAAATTATAGGCATAGACTTTTCAATCAGTTATTTTTTTTATCTCAATAGTTACTAAACTAAATATTAAGATATAGAAATAGTTCTGATCTATATTGGTACCTATTTTTTTAAACTATTTTGACATAGTTCATGTCATGACCAAGTGTATCTTAAATGTATAACTGTATATGTAACTGCCGTCTATATATAAGTACTCGTATATATATGTAACTTATGCTGGTTTAATCCATGGTAGCTATTTATACTAGTATATAAAAAATTGTATTAAACCCCCTGAAAATGAAGACATAGTTTTGAGTTTAAAACTATTTTATTGTTGATATTCTAAGATGTAATAATTGATTAAATTGTTTATCTAACTATAGTTAAATTAAAGAACATATAATAAATACTAATTGAAATAATAGCTGAATTGTATGAGATTAAATATATTATGTAACTACATACTAAATATAAGTACATAACTAACACCTATCAAAAATAATAATTATAATACTAAATAATGTATAATTATAGTAATTAATATTTATTTGAATAATCAATAGATAATAATTATAAATTATTGACTTATCTGCAATAAAAATAAGCGAATTTCTAGAACTTTAAAACCGAATTTTACATTTAACTTTCCATAATATAACTATATTTTTTAATGTTTATATAAACAAAATATATAGATCCACTTCAACGATTCATATTTTTATAACCTTTTTTATTTAATATAAAATATATGTGTAATCTCTTAGAACCCTTTTGACAACTAGTCAATATACTATATAAACAATATAAAAGAAACAAAAACTCTTAGAGATAAGATTAACAAATTAATCGTATTAATGCACTACTCATAGACGTTATTGTCAATTTATTTGAGTTAAATAATATTTAGTCTGTCATAGAAAGCAAAAAGGAACATTTAAACGCACACCGTTCAAACATTATAATGCATTTTGAATCAAAACAAGAAGTTTATGTGAATAACGAACAACTAATTTCTAAAGTTGGTAGTAACAATGTCGATATCATCAGGGAATGGTTATCGAAGCAACTCCATTTACCAAAAATATCAGGTACTCGTAATTTGTAAGAATTTAATTTAAAATTATAAATTACCTGTAAGTGATCAATTACAAAATTCTAGACCTGTAATTTAATTTAACGGATATTGTTAACAATATATATTTTTAAATATGTTTAATTAGATATAAATTATGGATATTAAATACTATTAAAATATTTACAAGTATTATTAGATAGTAACATAATATTAAATCTTCGAAAAAAATAATTAAATTAAGGTTAAAATAAAACGAAGCATAAGATTTATATCATAGGTATAAACATTATATGAAATTTTAAAACTGTATACAACAAAAAAAAAAAAAACAAAAGATCTCATTTCACTTAAAATTTCAAAAACCAATATTGTAATTTATTTTAATCATCAACTTCAATGTAATAAATAATAATATTTAATAATAACACATTTTTATTGAGTAATATTTTAAAACAGTAAAGTTATAAGTACCTATATCGTATTTACCTGAAATTTATTGCTACCATATCGTATTGTTTAATGTTTTTAAAACATATTTGTATTTAATATTTTTTTTTTTTAATTGATATAATTAATGGAAAGCGCAGAAGTTACTCTTCTGTAAAGTAGGTATATAATATTGTACCTTCTCATTTGAGTACGTCACTATAACGATCGGGTCAAAATAAAATTTAACGATATTAATTGTATACGAAAAAATATGTACACATTGCTAATGGTAATTTATTCTTATTTTTTCTTGAACTAAATTTCGCTATAATAACGAATTGCATGTCATCATTCATTACATTTAAATCAAATTTAAATAGATAAATTAAAAACCGTATTTGTAAATATCGCTTTAAAAAATATTTTAGTTCTCAAATGAATAAAAACATAATATTAACAAAAATTATAAATAAAAAATATAAGAACACAAATAATTATTAACAACATTGAATAAAAATGCCGTGTAAAATAACAAAAAATACATTTTATACAGGTATATGCATGAAACGTACAAATAAATAAATAAATAATATATATAATAATACATTTTAAAAATATTATTGTATCAAAATATTTATGCAGACAAGCAATTGGTGATATTTTTGAACTGCTGTCAGTGTAATCTGGAAGCGACAAAAAAAATGATAGACGCATATTATACTATGAGAACTCACAATCCCGACATGTTTCACAATAGGAAGATTTCTGAACTTGAGAAAACTTTCAACATATTGTAAGAACCTGAACCATTGTAGTGCTACTTAACTAGTCTCATACATCTGTGCATTTACCAAAAATACAAAAATAGTATTGTATCGTTTTCATGATTGCAGTTATTTTCACAAAATGCCGTTGCTACCAGATGGCTCCCGAGCGGGATTTTCGCGTCTGCGAGACTTCAACTCTAATCTTTTTAACACATTAGATACTATACGGCTTGTATTCGCAATGTATGACATATGCATCGATGAGGATCCGCTAGCGCCCGGATGGAAATTCGTAATGGACATGACTGGATTCTCAGTTGGTCATTTGACTAAGCTGACCAATTTAACTCTGATGAGAAAATGCTTGGCCTACGTGCAAGTAATCATAAATTAATATTAAATAATAAATTAATTCGAATAAAAATGCAGTAAAACCTGTGTAATATGGAACCTGAATAACGTGGAAACCTGACTTTTATGGAAAAATGTTACGGTCCCGGCGAACCTAATGTAGTTTTAAATACATCGTTCCCTGAATAAAATGGAACCTGTTTAACGTGGAAATGGAAACAATATTTTGTCATGAACCTGTATATAATGGAAATATGTACATGTACTATTTTAAAATTATCAGTCAATGAATATAATCTATAACAATTATATAGATTATTTCGTTGCAATAAGTTTATTTTATCGATAAGTGTCGTAGTAGTGTTCTGACGTATATATATATATATATATGAAATAAATAAATTAATAATAAATAATAAATTACATTTGATAAAGATCTATCGGGAAAATTTTTTTTTTACAATCTGTATTAAATGGAAACCTGTCTAAAATGGAAAAAATATCCGGTCCCAACGGTTTCCATATTACACAGGTTTTACTGTACATGATATTATATCCATATAGAAATTATTAGTAATATATTCAAACTTCACATTTGGTACCTTTTTTTTTTTAATTAGGACACTATGAAATTGTTTCGCCAATTCTGTCTATAAATAACAGAAAATAAATTATTTAAACACTTCTATGGGGAGTTTCTCAAGTGCGTCCGAAATAAGGTATCACCCAAGTGCGCAAGTACCAAGAAAAAAGGTCATATTTTTTATATAACCCTAGTGCGTTCCGGTTCATTTAGAGTTACCCAGGGTGCACCATGAGGAGTTAAACTGGCTTACACCCCAAAAATATTTTTTGATTCTTATTTATAATAATTATATATTTTATTTTAGTTTACACCCTCAAATTATGACAAGTGTACAAATTATTTTTAAAAGTTTTTTTTTATTTATTTATTTTCATTAACCGTTATAAAAGTTAAAATGCAATTTTCCCATCGTTTCCAATACTCCACCACCATAGCTTTAAAAATAAAGTATTATAGTTGTATATATTTTAAACTAACATATTCAATCATTGTCGAATAACTCAAACTTGTATCTTAAAAGGTTTATTTGATAATTTTATCTTATATCTATAGCTGTGGACCGAGGACGCACTCGGGCTATGAAATAGGTAAAAATTAAAAAGGGACGCACTTGGAATATCGGCCCTCTTTTATGTATACATATTATGAATTTTAAAATAAATAAACTTACGACATGCGACCACAGCCAAAACTGATACAAATCGAACTTCAAATATTATATTTAATTGAGTACCAGCTATATTACCAAATTATAAAATAATATATTTTTTTTCTAACATAACAGTTTATAGTCTTAATAGCTTGGAATTATTTTTTATATTACAAACACTTACACTAGTAGCTTAAGCTAAAGGGATGGGTTGATTGGAGGCTCGTAACTACTCCTGAAATAATGAAATTGATATTCCTATAATACGTACGAGTGTACGACCTACCGAGCGAAAATCGAGTTTAGAATACGACCTACCTCTGACAATTATTTATATACGAAATAAATACGGGCAACCTAATCCACTCATGCTTGTTTATCTTTATAATTTTATATGGTAACGTTCTACTAACAGGCAAAATACAATTTTTTTAATTTTTTAAATGATATACAAAAAGTATATTACCAAACATAATTTACAATAAAATAATTGTATGACATTTTTTGTTTTTATTGGTGTTTTGTTGACTGACTGAATATAATCTGTGATAATAAAATAATCTAATTTTATAATTTTTAATTTGACTATTTTTAAACTAATTATTAGTCCGATATGTTATATACTAAACGAAAACGCTAAAATGGTTTTAAAAAATGTCAACTTAGTTTTATGAATATCTTAAATTATGTGATATTTAAAATTGGTAAAGCATGCAATTCTGGATTCAATCTCGGTATAACCCACGTTTAATTGGTAAACCTATAAGTACATACCGTATTACAAGAACTTAGATACGATATACTTAAGCTCTTCAGATATTTTTTGTAAATCAAAAAATAGTTTATTTAATTAACTTGAAAATATTATTTTTGTAGACGGCTCTGCCAATGCGTTTAACAGCCATCATCATGATAAACGCTCCACCATTGACTAACCAATTGATGATGTTTTTAAAACCATTAATGCACAAAGACTTGTATTCACTGGTAAGATTTAATTACAATATTTAAGAGGAAACCACCATTCTAGGAATTAATTATTAGTTATTACATTTGTTTCTGAGATATCATAGAAAATCCGTCAATGATAATTGTTAAAAATGATTGGAACTTGATTATAAAGATAGATTCACTTATGAACTATTTGCTTATTTTAAAAATAATAACATTTTTTTTGGTCATTTTATATCATTTTCTATAGAGTTTATAATTTATGATGACATTGATGACTGAAAAAAATGTATCAAAAACAATTTAATATATACTACAATACGATGCATTTAATTTAATAAACAAGCTACATTATAGTTTAGCTCTGTAATAAAATCATTTTCCAGTTATTATTTACTATAAATATTTATATATATATATTTTTTTTTATGTTCATATTTGACAGACACAGATAACAAAACCTATGTCCGCTTTGATTTTTTTGAGGAAATATTATTTTAATGTCAAACGACAATATTATCTACTAATTAAATACTAATTTTAATTGCAGATTTCAATACACTCAGTGAGTGACATGGACAGTGTTTACCAATCTATTCCGAAAGAATACTTTGCCAGCGATATTGGTGGAAAAGCCCCTTCTTTTGAAGCCCAAAAAGGTATAAGCATGATACCTATACAGAGGTAGGCTGGTTAAGGTGACGGAGAGCAATCGCCTCCCCGGCCCTCGATGATGTCATAGCTATTAATACAAATTGTATAAATAATAAAACCTAGCCATTTGTTTACTTATAAGATTATAAAAATGATAATTGAAAGCACAAGAATTGTGCAATAATGCTGACGCGGGTTTTTAAATTCTAAGAATTCTGTAAATCGAATATTACACTATTGCTGATAAGTGGCGCGCTTGTTATGCTCGTTATATAAAATAAATAATATACATACTTTCATATTTCATGAGAAGTGTTCGAGTCGTTCGAAGTAATACTTCAAGTAAAATGTACTCTACACTACAGAATGAAAATATATTATGCTATCGTACATTCAAACACGTACCTATTCAAGATTCAAGCGTAATAATGACTAATAGTTCACCGCATAGTGTAATGATCGTTGACACTTTTAAATCTTCATAAAATCATAAATATTCTATGGTGCTGAGCAAATTGTTGATTTAATAATTTTGTGCTTAAATGAAGATTGCACTATGAATATTGTTCTAGTTTATTTAATAGTTTAAAGTGTAAAAATAATTGAATTGTCAATTGATATGTCTATTAACTAAAAAAATAAAATATGATATTAGGTAATAGCCAATAGGTTCAGTTAACTACCCGAACCTGTTGATATCCAGTCCGTCCCTCTACCTATAAATACATATATTTAATTACCTATTATATCATCTCTACAGTTCATGCATGAGCATAAAAAATAAGATTAAACTTGAAAACAAAAAATTCTATGTAGGTACCTACATTTTAAAAAGCATACTCTATAAAAGATACATATTTAAATTTAAAATATATGTATTGTACGGACGATATGAAGACATAGATTTTGCAAAAAACTAATTGAAAAAAAAATAAATAATTTCAATGTTTACTAGAATATATTATATTATTATAATAATATTGTTTTATACACAACAAATAATTCATAGACATTTTTACAACTTACCAACTTTTTTTGCAGTGTCCAATATCTCGTTATTCGGCTATAAATGCAAAATAATTGGTACAAAATAAATAATCGATTTTGTTTTTAAATGTTTTTCAGAAGAATCACTGGAACGTTTTAAGACATACGAGAGTTTTTTTGAAGACGACGAGAAATTCAATCGTGTAGACGAAAACAAGCGGATCGATAAGAATAATCAATGTAATTCGTTAGATTATGGACTTGAAGGATCGTTTAAAAAATTAGAATTGGATTAAGAACTATAGTTTTTTTTTTTTTTTTTAAACAAATTTATAATATTGTATCTAATTTATCTGTATAATATGATAAATATAAGTACCTATCTAAATTTTTTTTTTTGCAAATTCATTTATTATACACATTTTATTTTAATAAATACGTCACAACGGCACTATCATAATGATAATAATATGCTGTAATATAAATTAGGTTTATTGATATTCAATTTTTTTCTAAGATTGAAATGATTAAATAATGATCTATATTGACTAAAATTCAACTATCACTGATTATTTACTCCGTCACTCAATAAAATAATATTCACAGAATCCAATGATGTTATCTGCAATACGATGACGTGGGTACCTATGTAATATTTTTCAACTTATAACATTATACGGTCCCTAACCTAATAATAAATATTTATATAAATATACACTCGTTAAAATATATTTAATATATTATATTATATACACATAATAATCTATATATTTATGTCTATTTCCCGGTGAGGAGGAAAAAATTATCCCCCTCCTACCACTAAAACAATTTCACCAATGATGATAATAATAAAATCAATTTCTTTAACACCGACATACTGTTAGTTAGGAAACGAAAATCGTGTACTACAACGCTACCTATTGGCAAAAAACATGATGCTTAAATTTAGTTTTGAAGTTTAAATATCGGTGTTAGATGACGCTACTATTATCTTTTGGTGGTAATCATAGCTGTAAAAAAATACTATCTGATAGTGCTGAACATTCAAAACCTTAATGCATTGTATTTTTTAACGGACGACATCGGTCGTTGCTACCATCTTGAATCTATATAATTTCAAGTCACAACTTGTTTTGGAATCTTGATAGTTGATTCCAACGTTTTGAACGTTTCGTCGGTTATCCAAAAATAAATCTATTTCGACGGACAATAATTAATAATTATAGATATTAGACCATAATATATTTCAATAAATAATAAGTTTGTTGTAAAATGTCAATTTTCTCCGGGCTCGATTAAACGATTGAAAAAAACACGTTTTTATTCAATTTTTTTGTTTATCCTCAATTTACATCAGATCATTGTCCATTTATTTGTAGTTGACGTCCCTAGTTCCTTTCCAGAACGATCCTATTTTGAATTATTTGAATCATTCACTTATATGCCTACACATATCTTGCAAAAATTGTAATTATATCCTAGTACACCATCGTGATTTTTATCTTGTTATTCACATGTGAGTACATAAAACACAATTTTTACTAAGATCTCTAAATCCAATTAATAATTTTATTTCATTAGACAGTTTTATTATATTTCTTCATTGTATTGTTTGTTAGTTTTTTTTTTTGCTAACAAAGTAGGTACCAGTTTAACTTTATTTTTTACTCCGTAGCAAAAAGTAACAGTTTTATTTTTGACGGATTTCTACATTCATTGAAGAATGTCTCAATTCACTTTTGTCAATGATATTAAAAGTGCCATAAGAATGGATGAGCCGATCACCAGTGGTCCAGCTCCACGATGGATGAAGAAAAACACGGAATCAAGGTATGTATTGTATATATGTAGGCTTTAAGAAATGTATTTTATATGTTTTTGTTCAACTATGTTTGCTCTCATAGTTTTTCAAATACGTCAAGAAAAACTAATGATTTAATGTCTGTTAAGAAGACTCCATCAAAAACACCTAATAAATCAAAATCACCAGGTTAGTACCCAATGTTATTAATAATTATAACTTGCATCTATGTCACTGTGATTATCAAAATTAATTTTTTGTATAAACTTAAAACTATTATCATATACAGTAATTTGATTTATATTATTAATATTAATAATTATTTATAATATCAATTGCTTTTATATTTATCTGTCTATTATAAGTAATTCACAGCGTTGTTAAAATTAACCATTAAAAATGAGTAAAAATCATCTAAATAGATTTTTCAAAAGAAATAAATTAAAACCTCGAAAATTAAATGTTAACTCTCCAGAATTATCAATTACTAAAAGTAATAAAAATATATTTACTGTCATACAAGGTAAGGAATGATAATATTGCAAGTTTGCTCATATTCCTAATTATGTTTCATATTAAATTAGAGTAGGTAGGTATATATAATTTGAATGTAACATATTAATAAATTATATAATTTTAAATATGGGCACATCATATCATTAGGTATTTATTATAATTGACTAATTTACCTTGAGTGATTTAAGTTAAGATATTCTTAAACAAATATTGATTTTTTTTTTTAACAATATTTTAAATATTAATATATTATATTTGTACACTATACCTATGTGAGAAAAATAATTATATTTATAAATATTTTAACTTAATAACAATCTATAATCAATTATATGCATTAAAAATATTTGTTTGAATAGCTTCAAGATCAGCAACAAACACACCAGCTAAACCTAAAACACCTGGTGGTGACAGATTCATTCCTTCTCGAATGTCTACAAATTTTGACATAAGTAATTTTAAAGTAAATCACAATTATGTATTATATATTTAAATATATTTAAGATTTTTTTATCTTAACAAGTTACTTAATTCTGTTCTGGTAGATGAACCAAGAAAATGAAAACCTTGACTTAAGTCCGACTCAATCAGACTATAGAAAAGCTATGTCAGAGAATCTCCATGGTTGTGATATAAATAATGTTCGTGTTCTATCCTATCAGAACAAAGCTCCAGCTCCTCCAGATGTATGATAATTAAAAGCTTATTATATGCATAATTATATAATTAATTATTATTTTAGGGTTATCAAAATGCTTTAAAAGTAGTTTATAGTCAATCCAAGACTCCAATGAATATACGAGGAGCAACTCGTTATATACCACATGCACCGGACCGTATTTTAGATGCTCCTGAAATTGTTGATGATTATTGTACAGTATTTCATTAACTGTATCCATAACACTGTAGATAACATTTTAATTTTTACAGACCTAAATTTAATTGACTGGAGTTTTTCCAACATATTGGCTGTTGCCTTAGGCACAAGTGTATATCTTTGGAACGCTGACACAGGAGACATTGATCAACTGTTAGATTTAGAAGGTGCAGACTATGTTACTTCTCTAAATTGGGTACCCAATGGAAATCTTTTAAGTGTTGGAACTGCTTTAGGACCTGTACAAGTATGTGAAATACTTGCTTTTGAACATAGTATGATATTAAACTAGTATTATTTATTGATTTAGTTATGGGATGCATCACAGACAAAACGTCTGCGTATAATGAATAGTCACAGTTCAAGAGTGGGTGCTATGTCTTGGAACAGTCATATACTAACTACAGGTTGCAGAAATGGAGAACTTGTTCACAACGATGTCAGACAGAGAGAACACATTGTTAGTACAATTCAATCCCACACTCAAGAAGTATGTACCAATTCTTATTGAATATATTTTAAATATTTGATCTTGATGTCATATGACATTAAGTATTTAACCTAAATCTATTTTGGTTTCCTGTAGGTTTGTGGTCTTAAATGGTCAACTGATGGCCGTTATTTAGCCAGTGGAGGCAATGATAACTTGCTTAATGTGTACAGTGGCTTACCAGGCCAAACAACTTATCAATCTGAACCAATATACAGTTTCAGGTAATATTTTACACCTTTATAACATTTATTTTATTGTATTTGTAACAAATTGGTTATTGGGTACACATACGCATTGTATTATTAAAAATAAATATTGGGATATTTAGAAATTTTAACAAAAAACAATATATACATTTTCCACGTGTTTACTCTAGTCAACATCAAGCTGCCGTTAAAGCATTGGACTGGTGTCCATGGCAAACCAATGTATTAGCCAGTGGCGGTGGCACAGCTGACCGAACTATCAGATTTTGGAATTGCAATAATGGCCAATGTATCAATTCGGTCAATGCCAACTCACAGGTATGCGCTATTCTGTGGTCAAAAACGTACAGAGAATTGGTATCGGCACATGGTTTTGCAAACAACCAACTTACAATTTGGAAATATCCTTCACTATCCAAGGTGAGTTAATTGATAGTAAAAATTATCTGCATTAAGTATCATTGATTTTTTTATCTTTTTATTTGGTTTTTTTTTTTAAAATTCTATTTCCAAGGTTGCTGAACTCACTGGACATACAAATCGTATTCTGAATTTGGCCATGTCACCAGATGGTTCAACAGTACTCTCAGCTGGTGCAGATGAGACCCTGCGAATGTGGAAATGCTTTTTGCCAGATCCAAACAAAAAGAAAGAACAGAAACATTCTTTTAGACCCACTATATTGGGTCCAGGCCTAAGATAAATATTTTGTTTTATTCTTTCATCTTTGTTAATTATATTTATGTACAATATTTCTGTCAAATTTTTTACTCACGCAATTTAAACTTTTAATTTTATTTAAACAAGACTTTGTAATACTTTTACTCGCATGTGTATATAGATAAACAGATTTTTTTATAAATATTTTCTTTTTGTGTAATATTTTAAACAAGTATTTTTATTATAAGATGAAATGTATTTTCAGAATTAGTGCATAAATTGACTACAAGAATTAATATACTAATACATTTTACATCATAACTTTAATCACTTATAATAATAAACAAGTCTTTGGCTATTTTATTTTTATGTGTGAAATAATATATAATAACAGCATAGTTATATTTAAACTTAAGTAATATTGTAAGTTAACATAAAGGAATAACAAAAATATAAATAGAAGTTAAGTTACAAACAAAAACACATTTAAAATAATGATAAAAAAAAAAAAGAGTAATAATTCGGTTGGTTAGTAATGAGCCGTAAATACGTAATTTCAACTATTTATTATTTAACTAATATTCAAATCTGAATAAGTACAATCCAATGTTTTAAACTAACGTTCTACGGCTAAAAATCCAACACAACCATTTATTTTGTGGTTTGACAAAAGAAATTTTACAAAAATAATTCTCAAAACAAACAACCGCAACAACTACGTGCACTTAGAGATGAGATGTAGATACCTGACTAGTATTTTGTTATGATAAAAATTGTACTGTGACAATTTTTAATTATAAAGATGATTTAAGTTTATAAAAATGACTAGACATATTAAACATGTGTGTTGATTTATCAAAACATCAAGTACAAATGGACTTTAGAGGTAATAATGTAATATAAAATTTTCAATAAAATTGACTCATCTCTAAGTTAACAAATCAAACTACACTGTGAGTTGTATACTAAGATATGAAAAACAATGCCTAAAGTATGTAAAAAAAAAAAAAAAAGTTTAGTGCTAAGATGATTAGATTAATAATGATTGTTAACAAAAATAGCCATCAGTCAGATTGAATTGAAATCAGTAAGTTGCATATCAAAAATAGCATGTTTAGATTAGAGATAACAAATTTTTTTATTTATTTAATTCAATTAAAATTAAAGAAGAAAAATTAACTAGGAAAATCTGACTAATGACTTCACAGTAAATATGTTACAATAAATAACAATTCCTATTACATTCATTCATGTAATATAACCTACAAGTAATTAACAGTAAACACAACAAAAGTTACATCATTAATACATAATATAATAGTATGATAATAGATTGACTAAAATACAATAGAATATATTGTTTTTTTTTTTTTTTATTGAATATTTTTGTCGTTTTAAAATTACCCTGCTGTAATTTACTTATATATAAATATAAAGGCTCGATAGGATGAGCCCTCATATATTAAGCTCCTCTTTTAAGGCACTGTTTACAGTAATTTTATACTTAAGAAACACATTTAAACTTGACTTATTATTAATAATAATTTTTTTTTTAAATGATAATAAAAAATAAAACAAAAAAAGATAAAGATCCACACTTTAAAAACTATAAGTGTTTAAGTCCTTAAAGCTACAAATGTGGGTAAAATAATCTACACAATACTGCCCAGTATTTTCAAAAACAACTAAAGGGAGAAAAATATTAGATAATAATGATAGTGAAAATACCAGTTACACTGAATTACAATTTGATGAATGGTCAATTTGTGTTTGAAGGCTATGGATCATTGACATCAATTTGGCGTTTTCAATGAAAAGTTCTTTAACAATCATATCAGCACTTATGAGTTGTTTTTTCTAAAAAAAAAAAAAAAACAATGTCAATAGATTATTTTTTTTATAAATATGTCTTTAATTGTGATTATAGAAAAAAATATATATGACACGACACTAACTTGTTCATTTCTCATTTGAATTTGTTCTTCAAGTTTATCTTGCGATGACCGCAATAATTTGTGTACCATATCAATCTTTGACTGATGCTCGTTCCATATGGCTAAATTTACATAGATAATCAAATCATTGTACACTCAATAAAACAAAATAAATTATAAAGCAAACAAATTATTATGAGGTACTATGGGTTAAACCAGTGGTCTCCAAACTACGGCCCCCGAATAAGTTTTCACCAGCCCGCCAAATAACGGAAAATATTCTAAAAATATATATACCTAGTTTTCATAGTCGTTATCGCGCACACGAGCAATTATCAGCTGTATTAGCTGTAATTTATAAATTATATACGAAAATTAAATGTATTCATACATTTTGGCCCGCTAAGAGCTTTTTTTATTTTATGTAGCCCTCGGATAAAAAAAGTTTGGAAACCCCTGGGTTAAACAACAAAATATTTACATCATAATCTCATTGAAAAAAAATAAATAATTTTTTATGGTCCACTTAGACCATAGATTCTTAACCTTTTCTGGTCCATGGATCCTTTAGAAGTACAATCCCCACCAAAATTTTTTTATATATATATATATAATTATATATATAAATGCGGGAAAAGCATTATTATTGTTATTTTAAAAATGCTATCGAAAAAAATGTATTTCTAGATGGACCCCGAGTAACCATCTACGGACCCCCAAGGGGTCCATGGAACCTCTGGTTAAGAACCTGACTTAGACTGAAGTATTTAAATAAATTCTGAATTCATTATTATGATCAAAGGATTCACAATCCCTTTCACTCAATTGTTTAATGTTTTTCCTTTAGGACATTTTTTTTAAAGTAAGTTTTCTATAGTTAAGACTAAAATGTATTAAGTAATATTACAAAAAATTTTTCGAAACATTTAACATATTTCAAGTTATTTTTGAATAAAAAACAAATATACAATTAAAATGTTGAAAAATAAAGATGCTACTAATTTTGCATTTTTAAACCATATGTGGCACTCAAATAAAATATTTTTATAGATTTCTTTTTTTTAAGTAGCTAAATATTTGATCTAATTCCAGATTTTTATTTCTTTGGGCTGGTAAATCTTGAGTAACTGTAAAACATTTAATATTAGTTCAACGTCTCTCCCTAATTGGCTATTAATCATTTAATATATAATTTTATAAAATAAATAAAATGTCTAATTTCAATTTAGAATATTTCATAACATGTTTGTTGCGGCTCAATTTTGTATACATATACTCCAGTGCTGGTCAAATTTACAGTATTTATTTTTATGATGCCCATTAGAAAAATAGAAAATTTGAGGTACAGATTGCACACACACATACAGAAATATACACTGAACAATGCTGACAAATAAAAAAATTAAAACGCAATGCTGACCAAATTGAATATAGTAAAAAATAAATGTAAAAATGACATTTTAAAGCGTATAAAATAAAATGTGTCAATCAAAGATGCTATTTTATAATAAGTATAAACTTTAAATTATTATAAAAAAAAAAAAAACCGTCAATACATTACAAAATTATGTGTAATAATTATTAAAAGAACCCAACACAATAGCATTACCATAATAAATTTGTTTTACTAACCATTAGTCAACTTTTGATGTCTGGCCTGTTCATCAAGTAGTCTTTGTTCAAGTTCTTTGCACTTCCTAGCATCTATGGATACCTGATTTACTTGATTAATTTCTTTTCGCATGAAGAAATCTTTATGAGTATTCTGAAACACAATATTAGTTTTCAATACAAGTGACACCATATTATAAATTATTAACCTAATATGTTAATCTATCAGTTTAGCTAAATTTGAGTTATAAGTTATAACAAATGACGTACAGACAAATTTATTTGTTTATTATAATAATGTATACTCCATTTTAAAAGAAAAGATATATTAGGTGATGAATAGTTTCAATCTGGCAGCATGCATCATCCATATAATAGTATAAGTAGTAGTCGACGGAAGAGGAAAAGTTAACAGAAATGTTGTATTTTCTTATAGAATGGAGTATATTATGCTATAGTCGGCGACACAAAAACTGGCGGGTGGCCGCCATCGTACACTGGACCTCACCCAGCCTGTAGACAGTGGTTCTCATTTTACTAATAATTTATCCATTTGTATTTTAATGTAAGTAGGTAAAGTATGTGTTTATTTTTGTATATTAAACTGAACATTTTAAGAACAATACGTAATATTATTATTTTTAATAACTGTAGAATATTGTTTATGTTAATAATAAATAATAAAAAAAAATTGTATATGAATACAAAATAATTGAAAAAGCGGGCAAATGGTTTAATGACCACTATCACGAAAAATCCGTTAGGATTGTTACGGTCACCCATCAGTTTTCATGTCGCCGACTATAATATCTTAGAAGTAATGGTTCTAAAGCATTACACTTTATTTGATACATGAAAATGTAAATAATTTGAATGATATACATAATTGTAATTTTTCAAAAACGAATAAATATACTTTTAGCAGCTGTTTCATAAAAAGTTAACTACTTCATTAATATGGTATGAAATTGATCTGTAAATATAGAAATTGACAATGGGACAAGTGTATACTACATAAAATATGTAAGATTTAAATAATGTTAAAATGTAACACAAGAGCAAAAATCAAAATATTTTAGTATTAAGCATCAACTGTATCTACTTACTGAAAGGACATTAAGATATTCTTGTAATTGCAATATTTCATTTTTAAGTGCACTCCTTCGCTGTAACAAACTTCGGCATTCCATGCCTAATTTTTCACGATTTTTTTTTAAATCAAATTGCTTGTTTTTAAATTCACTATTTGACTAAATATTAAAATAAAATACAAATAAATATAAATTGGAAATCATTTATTAAATATTGAAAAATAAACATACTTTCAAATTGTTGTGGCATTTCTCACATTCTTCTTTAAATTGACAGTTAGGAACTTCGCGGTCAACTTTTTCAACTGGAATAACAATTTGAGATTTCAATTTTTCATTTTCAATTTTGAGCTTTTCCATTTCTTCTTCAATTTTTACACAATAGCTGGAAAATTCTTGTTGAATACAATTGATCTATGAAAATAACATAAATAATTTGAGTAAAAATGTTGGTAAAAAATATTTAGAAAAAATAATTACTTGTTCTTCAAGTTCGACAT